AGGCAACTTTCAGATGCCACTTTTTACAAAGCTTTGCCCTCCGATCCTACCAGCGAATTTAAATCTAAGCTTAAGGACGCACTTACGTCTTTACTAGAACATGGTAAATTAGATGAAAAGACAGTCCGCTCTTTGGTACCACTCAGTCCCGTAGCGGGAAGATTTTATATGCTTCCTAAAATTCACAAGCAGAATAATCCCGGCCGCCCCATCATTTCCGGAATCGGCACCGTTACCGAAAATTTATCTCGTTACGTTGACTCCCTCATAAACAAGATTCCAGCCACATTTCCGTCATTCATCAAAGACACCAACCATTTCCTTCAAGAAATTGTAGATCTTCATGTTTCATCTGGTTCAATGTTAGTAACGCTGGACGTAGCATCACTATACACCAACATACCGCATAAAGATGGTATTTCTGCAGTAATAAAGGCCTATGAAAATTCCCCTTTAGATAAAACTATTGATAAAGAAGCGCTTGGTACTCTTTTGAAACTTATCCTTGAATTAAACAATTTTGAGTTTAACAACATTCACTATGTACAAGCCAACGGCACCTCAATGGGTACGAAAGTAGGCCCTAACTACGCCAACATTTTTATGGGCATTCTGGAATGCGAATTTTTAGGTAAAAACATGCTTCAACCTCTCTACTATAGGCGCTTCATTGACGATATTTTTCTTGTCTGGACACATGATGAAGCAAGTCTGCTTGGTTTCATTCAAAAGTTTAATAATTTCCATCCGTCTATTAAGTTCTCGCACCAATTTTCGCGCACTTCTGTAAATTTTCTCGATGTCACAGTCACCATTTCCGAAGGACAACTTGCTACGAAGCTGTTCCGCAAGCCTACTGACCGACATCAACTCCTGCATTTTCAGAGTGGCCACCCCCGGCATTGCAAAACAGGAATTCCCTATAGCCAGGCTCACCGCTTTAAACGGTTGTGCTCTGACCGTACAGATTTCATTGAAAATTGTAATAGGCTCAAAAGTTCTCTAGTAAAAAGAAAATACCCGGAAAAACTAATAGACGATGCCATAACTCGAGCTGACCAACTCAACCGCACTGAGATTCTGAAAGGAAAGGACGGGAACGATAGCTCTGCTCAAACTAACCTTGTTCTGACATTTTCATCATCAGCTCCTAAGGTATCTGCTATATTGAAACGGCACCACAACATCTTAACCGAAAGTGATAATCTCAAAAAAATTTTTTCTGTTCCGCCTCGTGTTGTTTACCGACGGTCAAAAAACCTTCACGACATGTTAACGTCATCTAAAATTGGTACCCGTAAAGAGAGTGGCTGTGCACCTTGTAACAAACCACGGTGCAAAGTGTGTGTGCACATGCAAACCACGCAAAACGCCGCGAGCACGTCTTCGGACTTTAAATTAAAGATTCGTGGTAGCTTCGACTGCGACACTTATAATGCCGTATACATGTTGGAATGTAGTGCCTGTTTGAAACAATATATTGGTCATACTGAAACTCCATTCAGAATACGCTTTAATAACCACAAATCCCATGTAAATATATTCCCTCATCTACCGCTATCACGACACGTTCGCATGCCGGGCCACTCTTTCGATCAAATGAAAGCGACCATTCTTGAATCTGGTTTCCGCTCAAACCATGATCGCGAACTCCGGGAATCATACCTGATATTCAAGTTCAATACTGTAGCAGATGGTATCAATGAAGATGCAGGCACATTGACGTGTCTTCCTTCCACGTAAGCTTATTGGTCAACAATATAACAAGCGTACGCTAGTCTGCTTCTTTATCAGAGAGTGCGCTGTGCTGATAATGTATACAGAAACAGCGATTCTTATATATATATAATAGAATTATTTATCATCGGCAACGCGTATATTTACACGCGAACCATTATTGTAAGAAAAGAGCTTTGACATCCGTAATGTCGCGATGCACACGTGTATCCCGCAAAACCGTATCAGCTGCCAATGACTTACAAATGGTGACATCACACAGTGCTGTATAGATATATATTTTTGATCACTGAAAACCGTTTTTGTGCTGATACAGATGAGCCTTGTTCGTTACACAAGAGCATGTGTGTTTTTTTGGGGGGTCTCGAATATTGACATATATAAGCGCGCGATTTTTATGCCCTGTATTCCCAGACGAAGGCCGGTCCCACGGTCGAAACGTCGGACTAAACTGTGCTGAAACGTTCGTTGTGTGTGAATTACTCCTTTTTCTATACTATCAGAGCCTGCGTGATACTTCCTATAATCCCTTCTATATATATATATATATATATATATATACAGCATCGAAGGCGTTATTCGAAGGTAGTACGTAGGTTCCATTCCTTCTCACGGCTGGTTATTTTTTCATCCACTTTTCTTTCTTCATATTTACATTCCATTGGTTCTAATAACTTTCCCTGTACATTAGTTGACATTACTGCCTGTTAGATCTCATTAATATTTTGGTAAAACACGGGAAGACGATATATATATATATATATATATATATATATATATATATATATATATATATATATATATATATATATATATATACAGCATCGAAGGCGTTATTCGAAGGTAGTACGTAGGTTCGATTCCTTCTCACGGCTGGTTATTTTTTCATCCACTTTTCTTTCTTCCTATTTACATTCCATTGGTTCTAATAACTTTCCCTGTACATTAGGTGACATTACTGTCTGTTAGATCTCATTATTATTGTGTTAAAACACGGGAAGACGAGCCCTTAAGTATACACTTCTTTCCCTTATATATATATATATATATATATATATATATTATATATATATATATATATTATATATATAGTATTATTTATATATATATATATATATATATATTATATATATATATATATATATATATATATATATATACGATATACAGACAGTAATGCCAGGATTGTACAGGGGAAGTTATTAGAACCATTGGGAAGGCCGCTGTGGTAGCTGAGTGGTTAGAGCATCGAACGCGTTATTCGAAGTTCGTAGGTTCGATTCCTGCCCACGGCTGGTTATTTTTTATCCACTTTTCTTTCTTCTTATTTACATCCCATTGCTTCTAATAACTTCCCCTGTACATTCCTTGGCATTACTGTCTGTTATATCTCATTATTATTGTGTTAAAACACGGAAAAACGAGCCCTTAGGTATACACTTCTTTCCCCTTATATATATATATATATATATATATATATATATATATATATATATATATATATATATATATATATTCAAGATTCGCGCCACCGTAACTGCAACGAGGACTAAACAATCGCAAATATATTTCCGTGTTTCAGTCTGACTACCCTTTCCAGTGTACTAGTGTCGTCCGTTTTCATCTCTCTTACTAGCCGATCAACTATTGTAAGCCCGACATAGCGAACAGCCACCGCACACACATGTAATCACCCCAAAACGCGGATACTCAGGAGAATTCAGTATTTACTTCAAACGCCTATTCCTGTATTTCGGAAACACTGCCTGGTATCCCTTCAAAGCGAGACCGCCCCTCAAAAGTCCTTTTGTTCGACACCACGTCCCTGGAGTGTGGGGACGCCATCTGCGACGCCTGATTAGTGACGATCGGTGGAAAAAGAAGAAATAAAAGTAAACCTTCCGCGACACGCAAGCCTTTATCTCAGCCAGCTAGTCTACTACAAAAATTCATTTTATCTCCTCTATTCCTTATTTATTCATAAGTGATGATTCCAAAATGTCTATTTCGAAACGACAATGTTCTCTTAACCAAACACATCTGTTACAATAAGGAGTTGTCAGTACTACAAGACACCGTTCATGAGGCTGCGTCACGGTTCACTAATAATTGCTTTGTGATTATTCAAAAAACAAAACTCACTTGCTTCACAAATTTATTGAAAGCAATAGTGACGAATGCGCCTCTGTTTCTTCATGCCTGTAAGTGCGAATCCTCTAAGTGTACTCCCATTGAATATGTTAATTCCATAAACTATCTCAGTGTGTTCTTCGATAGCGACCGGTCTTATAATGATCACATGACTTGTTTTTGTGGCAACCTACGAAAAATCTCAAGATAAATTTTAATATTATATCAATTGCGCCCAATAATATTGAAGTGACCATTATGCTCTCTTTTGCGTACACTGTCCTGCGCTATAGCATCATTATATTTGGATAATATTTCTCGTCATGGCAGTGTCAGGTTGATAACATTTTGAAAAACACGTTGAAATAGATTGTTTAAAATCATACATGAACAGACAATTTAATCTTTTTTTCTTTACTTCGCCTGCCGTCTTTCAAAAAGTCATTTATGCAAACTGTAATATTACGAGATTTAGAACACTCTGAGTTTAAAAAGTGTCATTGCTTCTTTTTCTAATCATAAAACCTCCCCGCTTATTCGTACCATTCATCACAACACGACTAGGGCAAGCTATTAAAAAGGTTCATGTTTCTTCTGTTTCTAATGTCCTCCCCGACAGTGTCTTTCCTGTAACGACAAAACAAAACTTACGAAATGTCCTAAAATAACTTTTTTTTGCTGCACCGTTTATTGTAAGACTATTTATGTAGCTTGTTTCATGCCGGGTATTATCTGTTAAAGGATTGCTCAATCCTTGTGTACACATTCTGCTGTTTATGTAGTTTTGCTTCAGCTAGTTTGATTGTAGTGTTATTCTGCTTAAGTGTAGTGTAGAAGAGTTACATGTCTTCTTTTCTCTGATCAATTATGGTATATGTTCTCCAATATGTACGCCAGCTCTGTTTTACCAATATGCTGAGCCTAGTCAGCCAAGCCACCGTCTGGCTTCGATAGGCCTGTTATCTAGCGTGGTACTCAAGACGACAATAAAGATTCTTCTTCGTCTTCTTCTTCTTCTTCTTATCATTATTAAGGTTGTTGTTGTTGTTGTTGTTGTTGTTGACAGGGACTGTCAACCAGAAAGATATATATTTGCAGCAAAACAGTTTCAAAACAAAAGTACTTCTCAATACCTTGCCGTCCTCGTGGCCTATCTCCACCATCCAAGGCCAAACGGTGACAGCTTCAGTCCCACCTAATATGCGCCCTTCCATCGAGTCGTCGAGTCCAGTCTCTGGATCGTGGCTGTAGCTAACACCACATACGCTGTAATCTGCGCAAGCGAGGTAAAAATAAATAAATGAGACAGCAGCGCAATAGAATTACGGAAATAAAGATGGAAAACATAGATCACCTTTAAGTGAAGTTGTGATCGGAGCACCACAAGACAGCATTGAGTTATCACTGCTTCTAAAGGAAGCTGGAATAAACTAGCTGCCGGTAATGTACTTTATCACAAGATCTGGATTGGTCACCCTGGTTCACTATCTAGCTACAACCTCCCATGAATACAGCAATTAACCCTTGGGCCTCATTCCCCAGTGGCTGTGAAGCAACTGCCCAAGGCGGCGGTGAGACCTCCGACGCAGCGGAGGGTGCTAAGAATCTCTGGGTCCAGACAGGCTGCCAATAGAATCTGAACTTTGCTACTTTGAGCGCTGGAACGCCATCTATTGAGGCTAGTTTAGCTAGGCTACTCGAAGAATCGCAGGGTGTTAAATGGTATGTGATAGGGCTCGCCGAGGTTAGGGAACATGTGAGGCTTTCACAGTGCGGCCCATACTGAACGGACACGTCGTATGCTATTGTAGACTAGTTGTCAGAAAAGAACTAGAGAGGGGGGGGGGGTCTCATACACATGGATATCACTGGAAACATGAAATAATACTATAGCGTCAGTGAGAGGGTGGCAAGTATTATAATTAGGTTGAACAAAACGTACAAAATGAAGGTAGTACAGGCCAACGGGCCTACATTGAACCATGATGATCATTTGGTAGAACCTTTCTATAAATACGTAGAGTCGGCCAATAATGAAATAAAGGCGCAGCATACTATTCTGATGGGCGACATTAATGTCAAAGTAGACAAGAAACAGGCAGGAGACCATGCAGTTAGGGAAAATGGCATTGGCTCTAGAAATGCCAGAGGGGAGTTATTAGTAAAGTTCGTCGAACCTGATAATTCACGGATCTTGAATACCTTCTTCTGAAAACGGGCTAACCGTAAGTGGACGTAGTGAAGTGCTAATGGCGATACTAAAAATTAAATAACTTTATTTTGTGTGCACAGGATCTTACAGGATGTAGAAGTAGTTGGCAAGATCAGATGCAGTGAACAGACAATGGTAAAAGCTCGTATTCACTTGGAGTTAAAAAAGCAAAGAGAAAAACTGATACGCAAGAAGCCAAATAATGAACTGCTAGTTATATAGAAAGTACAGTAATTCACAGTTTCGCTTCATAACAAATTCGAGGCACTAAACGAGGTTATTGGCGTTAGCACTGACACAATGAAGGATAATCTCACTAGTATCAACAAGGAGGGTGCAATGGAAGTTGGAGGTACATTCTCTAGACAGATCACTGGCAAACTATCTCAGGACCCGAAAAATCTATCAAGGGACGACAAACCTGAAAGTCTCAAATGCAACCTACAAAACAGAGCTAGTGGAGCTTTCGAAGTTAATGAATAGGCGTAAGGTTGCGGACATCACAAGGTATACCATGGAGAGAATTGAGCAGGTTGCAAAAAGCAGCAAAAGCCTAAAAAGCTGCAAAGGCAGATTTCCGCATTGGCAAAAATCAAATGTGTGCATTAAAGAACTAAGAAGGCAATGTCATAACCAATATGGATACCGTAGTCGGGGTGGCGGAGGAGTTCTATAGAGAGCTAAACAGAAGCCAAACAGAAGCCAAAACAACGAGGATGATATCACCAAAAACATATTAGTTCAGAGAAATTCAATATCCTACCAGTAATGACATCACGATTTCAGAAAACCCTAGAAAAAATGCAGAGGCAAAGTCTCTGATGAGGATAAGGTCAACAGGGCTCTTAGAAGATGGCAGAAAACCGTGTAAGATAAACTGGCCACGTTATGTACGAAGTAGTCCCTTGACGGGAAGGATATCAAAATCTTGTAAGGACGCCGAAATCATCTTAACCTATAAGAAAACAGACGTCAAGGACTCGAAAAATTTCAGGCTTGTCAGCTTGCTGACCGTTCTCCACAAACTAATTACAAAAATAATACCTAATAAAAGTAAGGGCACACTAAATCTCACTCAACCAAAGGACAAAGTAGTATTTCGTGCAGGCTAATTTAGAATGGAGCATATTCATACTATCAATTAGGTAATAGAGAAACGCTCAAATACACCCAACTACGGCATAGAGCCTTCAAAGATTACAAGAAGGCTTTTGACTTAGTAGATATATAAGCAATAATGCAGACATTGCGAAGTCAAGGCGTGGACGAAGCGTATATAAGCATCGTGTAATAAATCTACAGCGAATTAACTGCCAACATATTGCCCCATAAAGAAAGCGGCAAAATCCCAATAAAAAAGAGTGTAAGACAGAGAGACACAATCTCTCCAATCCTATTCAGCACGTGTTTACAGGAGGTACTCAGAATCCTAGATTGCCGAAAGTTAGGGATAACAGTGAATGGAGAGTATCTTGGTAACCTGCGATTTGCTCATGACATTCCCTTGATGAGTAACTCAGGAGATGAATTACAGCTCGTGATTACTGAACTTTACACAGAAAGCCGAAAAGTAGGTCTGAAAATTATTATGCACAAAACGAAAGTAATGTGTAACAGTCTCGGCAGAAAACGGCACTTAGCGTTAGATGAAGAGACGCTGGAACTTGTGAAGAAATACGTCAACATCCGACAGGTAGTAACCGTGGAGCCGAACAATTGGAGTGAAATAACTAGAAAGCTAAGCTTGAGAAGGTGCACATTCGGCAAGCATTCTCAAATCATGATTGGCAATCTGCCACTAACCCTGATAAGGAAGTAGTTACCAACGGAGTTGAATCCTGGAGTCTTACAAAGAGGGTTCGGCATACAAGGGCTGTCCACCACTCCAAAAAAAACTTTCTTTTATTGTTGCGCAAATGAGAAAATCGCTCATTACAACGGGGGCAATGAGCAGCTTCTGTCTCATAAAAAAAAGGAATTATATTTATTTATTTATTTATTTATTTATTTATTTATTTATTAGAATACCCTCAGGGCCCGTAGGGCATTACAGAGGGGGTGGGTACAACATATATAACACACAAGAAAAAAAGACAAAATAAAGAAACAAGTATCAGATGCGCAAATCAAGAAGTGTATATGTTTAACTCTATGGTGAAAGTCGACAAAAATGGCAGCAAACGTCATTCAAGAGCGATGCGGTCAATCTACTAGTACTACAAGAAATCCTCGTAGGTAGAGTTAGTTTGCTTGAAAACAGACGTGTAATTTTTGAAATTGGATTTTGTGCACTTGAGGCAGCTTTAAGTTGCGCCACAGACGATTTGTTGCTTTTGCTTTTCTGACGCGTTCAAATAGGCATCCCGTGGCGCTGCCGTCAGGGTGTTTGTTTGCCTGCATGTATGCCTGCAAACGGCGGAGAAACGCGAGAACGGCGTCCATTGTGTCTTGTAGGAACACATAATATGTATGTGCGTGGTTTAAACGACCACTTAGTTTTATTAATAAACAAAACTTCATGAAGCCTGCAAAAACTACACGTGGTTTAAGTTTTCGACTTTCACCGGCAGTACATTTATCATCGCGTTCGTTGACAACTGTTGTGGGCATTCAGACAACTGATGGAAGGTGACGAAGGTGAATGAAAAAAGTCTGTTTTGAAAAGTTTCTACACACTTTCCAGAGAAACTGCTGCAAAGTATAGTACGCAATCTTCACATTGTACGCTTTTTGTTGCGACGCAAAACAGAAACGCAGTCAAGGACGGTAGACAGTCTCTTTAAACTGAGGACGACGCAGCGAGTGATCGAAGTGATAGGTGTAACATTAGCAGACAAGAAGAGAGCAGAGTGGTTTCGAAGAAAACGGAGTTAGAGTTGTCATAGTTGAAATCAAGAAAAAGAAATGGACATGGGCTGGGCACGTAGCCCGTAGGCAGGATACCCACCAGGGTAACTAAATGGATTGCCAGAGAAGACGAACGCACGAAAGGGAGACAGAAAGTTAGGTGGGCCATTGAGATTAGAAAGTTCTTAGGTATACTGGGAACAAAAAGCAGAAAACCGGGTTGACTGATGGATCATGGGCCGGCCTTTGTCCTACAGTGGGAGTAGTCAGGTGGTTGATTTGATGATGAAAATGAGGTCGCTTTCGCACAGCTCAGTTTGAGCGTAAGCAAAAGATGCTACACACGGGAGCACGCTTATCTCGCACCCAGGCGCTTTCGGCGGTATCCCCTCGCTCCCAGAGACGCCATACTTTGTTTGCAACTGCCAAGACGCACCTCACTAGCATAGAATGCAGTGGCTCTGGGAGTTTAAAATGTGAAAAAGCGCCTGTTCACGATGCGCCCACTTATAAAATGTCATCTGGGTACCACTGCGCTGTCATCTGATGCAAAAAAAAAACAACGCAAGAGTAAGAGATTGCTGAGCACTGCCTGTGAAGTTCACAGCGCATCGCGGGAATCGTGCCGGTGCGGTGTTTTGCATTTGCACAGACTTTCGTCCACAACAAGAAATGTTGAGCTCCGCCGCCCTATAAGATATAATCGCAATCAACAGGAAAAACTACGAGCGCAGTGAAGTGTACAAGTATACTTAATGCGTTTATTCAAGCGTGACTTTACCTGTTTCACATTACAGCAGCGATTTATGAACAGCATTCCCGTAGTATGCGGCGCAAAACTTCATATATTGCCGTACTCTCTCGCAGACCGCATGTCAATATATATGATATACGTATCACGACTCACGCGTGGATGCACACTGCGCATGTTTACTGCAACGGCAACGGACTACAATCGCGATGCATGAATAGCGCGGAAAGCAAGACTTTCGAACCGCTCGAACTGCGACATGAGTTGACATTCACTAGGCGAACCTACACGTGCTTTCGGCCGGCGTCACCGCAGCATTTGAATGTCTTGTTCTGGCTGGCACTTCTGCAGCGCGCGTGTATTCCGAGTGCCCGGTAGGACTGGCAATCAATACACATGTGGTGCATGAGCGTAAGTTGGAGCCAGATTGTAGCGCTACGTTGACGCCTGCTTACAGCACAAA